TACTGCTGCACCTGAGTGGAGCCAAAGTTAGCATGAAGCTAAGTCTTCCTCTGTTGTGAGAGCTGTGGAGATGAGACTTGTTGTAAAGACTGTGCCCTTTGTAGTTATGCACATTCTGTCAATGACATACAGGTAAATCATGCTTTGTCTCCAGGACATTGTTTGTATTTATAATTGAAATAACTATCTGGGTCTGTTGCATATCTCCTTTGAACACACATGGCCTTTGTTTCTGAAGATAACCGTTCTCGAGCCCAGCTCCTCTTCACACCCGTGGCTTTTACATTTAGCTGCAGACAGCTTTGTGAGTTTCTTGTGATCTGTAGTGAGCAGAGGGAGCTTACTAAAAGTGGAAGAGAGTCTGGAGAGGTGGAGGTATGCTCCTGCGAGAAGAGGAATGAAAGTCTGTAGAAGCGAGACAGGAGAGGGAGACAGGTGTATCAGTAAAGCTGCAAGAAGTGGAGGTGTTACAGGTGGATGAGTTCACGAGTCTGGAGTCAACCAGTCAAAACAAAGGGCAGAACACCAGGTGAAGAACGGAGAGCAGGCAGGTGGACTGGATGGAGATAATACTAATTAATTTAGTTAATTAATTAGTATTATTCATTCTAATAATTGAATTTGATTTGATCTTCTACCCATTCCTGTTTAAATTACTTTGTGTTGTGCAGTTTTATTTCAAAGATATGTCAACAGGAACAGTTCATCTGTGGTGAAATAGAGACATTTATAATAATAATAATAATGTCATCACAATGTCAGCACTGTATGTTTCCATACAATGGCAAAATTAGTCTCTGCATTTAACCCATCCACCACCAGGTGGTGCAGTGGGCAGCTATTGAAAGCGCCCGGGGGGCATTTTGGGGATGAGGCGTGCTGCCCAGAGACACCACGTGATGTGCAGTGACTGGGGATCGAACCTGGGACTTTCGGGTCCCAAGCCGGCTGCCCTGCCTCTACACCATCTCGGCCCCCCTTAATTTAAACAAAAACCTTCACTAAATGTCATAAAACAATAATCCATGGCCTGTAGTCCATATACTGTTTCTACAGAGGATCAGCTGCTGAGTCTGTTTCGGGCCTTTTTTGAAGGTCAGTTCCAGTAAAAACAACAAATCTAAACCAGTCCATGGGTCACACCATGTCTACCTTACATGAAAGAACCCAAACACAACAAGTTGCGCCCTGTGATGGACTTGCGACCCGTCCAGGATGTCCCCCGCCCCTCGCACAGTGATTGCTGGACATGGGCACCAGCGACCCCCGTGACCCAAAATGGAATAAGCGGGTAAAGAAAATGGATGGATGGATGGACAACAAGTTGCATTTTACTAATTTATTGAGCAATTGTTTCCTTTAAACAGTGACATCACTGTCAGGTTTTAAATTGTTTAAACAAACAAAGAAAAATAATGTACCAAGCAGAGAACTCAACAAATAAAATGTTTAAAGGTATTATTCTACACTGGACGACGTCCTCCAGAAGTTCAGTCCATGTGGTCGAGGTAACGAGCTCGTTTGGGTGAAGCATGATGTCGTGCATCTTCCCAGACTTCAGAGCTTCATTTACAGACTGGACCATTGCAGGTCTGGTGTTCCACCTCATCTCTCCACAGCTGGACCAGTCCAGAGCCTTGTGGAACCTGAAAGTGACAGAAGACATGCACGAGTCAAAATAGTGTCACAGTGACTACAAGTTACAATCTGTTGGCCTTTCTTTTGTCAAAAACAAGAGATTTACAATTGAAATTAAGTCAAGAAAATGTGACATTTGCAAATATAAATTACAGAAGCTCATTATTTATTTATTTCACTTATCATATTTTATAATTATTTAATGAGCCTCACCAGGCAGAGATTACAAGATGTTCTGTATCTTACCTGCTCTGTTGAAGTGTGTGACAAGGGTCTTTGTGTCCAAAGCTGTTTAACAGTTTGCTTCCAGAGCTAACAGCTTCCTGTGTTAGGTAGAAAAATATAATTAAATTAAAGACAAACAAAAGCTTAGTGCTACTTCTTGTGCCATGTTTTATAAAACAGTTATTGAATCAAGTATTTACTTATGTAGGTAAACATAGATGTTTTAAAACCTGTTAAAATACACCAGAATGCAGGAAATAGCAGCTACTTTATTAAAAAAGTTATGGGGGAGGACCCACAGACCTCACACCAATATGTCCCCCCTACAATAACAGTTATTATAATATATGTGTAACCAGCCTTTCATATAAAAACTGGGATATTTTTACCGGAGAATGCGTGCACTTTAACCAGGAAGAGTTTGTTGTTTTTTAACATTACAAACAGCAACAGATGAAGATTTTAACCTAAAAACCCACATAACAAAGCAGAGCATCATTTTTAAATGAAAAGGGACAAGGAGGAGAAAAATGCTCTGTTTGAGTTTATTTAGTGACGGTAAACAAAGCAGCTCCTCACAGCTGAGACTAAAGTTTAAAGCAGCACAGCACCAACACAACTCTCATGAAGTTCAGGTTATTTGACACTTTCCTGCTCGTTCTGTGACTTTAATAGACAGACACTTACTTCTTACCTTGTGTTGAAAACTGTTTTCAGTTACTCTGTACCACTTCGCTGCTCCTCTCACCCTTGCAGTGAAAAGCTACGATTGGAACAGTTGACTCCTGGGAAATGTAGTTATTTTTTTACTTGTGTTAAAGTGAAGGCTTACTGAAAGAAAACTACAAAATAGCTGCGCCGTGTTTTTTTTTGTTTGTTTGTTTCATTTTTGGTTATTGGTCGGTTCCCGCTCCTGTCTGCTCCCGTTAGCTTTCAGTCCGGTCACGGGAGTTATAATGAGGTTGACTCCGGTCCCACCGGAATCCGGCTGGAATCACGTGACCCGTGGTACTCCAGATAAAATGTCATCCTCTAATGTCCACTGTGAGAGACATAAACTAAAAATTAATAAAATCCAGAAATCACAAAGTATGATTTTTTAATAATTTATTTGTGTGTTACTGCAGCAAATCAGTATTTGAACACCTGTGAACATCAAAGTTAATATTTGGTACAGTATCTTTGTTTGCAGTGACAGAGGTCAAAGGTTTCCTGTAGTTCTTCACCAGGTTCACTGCAGCAGATTCTGGACTGTTCCTCCACAGATCTTCTCTAGATCACCAGGTTTCAGGGCTGTCACTGAGAAACAGAGTTTGAGCTCCCTCCAAAAGATTTTCTACAGGGTTTAGGTCTGGAGACTGGCTAGTCCACTCCAGAACCTTGATCTGCTTCTTACGGAGCCACTCCTTGGTTCTCCTGGCTGTGAGCTTCAGGTCATTGTCATGTTGGAAGACCCAGCCTCGACCATCTTCAATGCTCTCACTGACTGTGTGGGGTGGACCGGTGTCTTTATGCAGCTAACCACCTCAAACAGCTGCTTCTGATTTAGAATAAGAAGTGGAGGTGAACTTTTTAGAGGAGGACTAGCAGGTCTTTGAGGACCAGAACTGGTTGGCAGCTGTTCAAATACTTCCTCACTGTATCTGTAGTGTCCCCTGAAGAGACTGATGGTTAGACTGAAGGCTCTGATTAATTCAGACTTTACCTGTTTGTTCACATATGAGGGATGGTGCTCCCAGTAGGTTGACACTTTTTGCCCATGTTTGACATCTTGTTGTGTTGTATGAAACAACATTATTATAATAACTGAGGTTTCACCAGGACAATAAGAACTCCTTGGTTTCTCATCAGAAGATATGTATGTGGATGATGTTCCTTCAAGGAGTTCTTTCTTTAAAGAACTCTGTCAGGGTTGGATGCAAGGATGAACCAGGAAATGGTGAAATGCTGCTAACCCATCAAATATTATGAATTTT